GTGAGGGGGGGCGGTGGCCCTGCCGCTGGAGGGAGTCATTGTCCCCAGGGAAAGTGAAGGAGCCAGGGCGGCTGGCAGGGGATGCTGGGATGGAGCTCCAAAAGGAGCCCTTCTGCAGGGGGCTGCTGGGTGGAAAGGTTTCTTTGCCAAAAGGAGAAGGGAAAGTCGTGGAGAGAGGAGAGTTCATTGGTGAGATGGCTCCTGGCCTTGGCTTCCCAAGCGTCAGTGATCCTATGCTGTTTCTTGAGCGACTGTCCTCTGAGCTTCCACGTGAGTCTTTCTGGGCTCCGTCAGCTGAGCCAGAAATGTTTCCCGCTGTCTTCCTGGGACTTTCAATAACTTTCATCTTGGGAATCTGCTCAGCTTCTCTCTGAGGACCGTCCGGTTCTGCATTGGGAGGGTGCCTGTCTGGCTGGCTCAGGCCAGTTTCTAAGGAGGTGGTGTAGTGTGGCAGGGAGAGATTGTGAATGGACATACCTGACATCTTGTCTGCCTCTGCTTGGGCCGAGGCTGCAGAGGAGACCAGGACTGGGGAATGGTGTCTGACAGGCTGGGGGATCCGGGATGGCCGGCTACGGCTGGAGCTGGGGATGCCACTACAGCTGCTGGGGCCACTGCTGTTACCGCTGCTGCTCCCGCTGCCGCCTCCACCACTGCTGTGATTCCTCTGGTACTCGATTGGGGATGTCAAGGCTGTAATGGGGGTGGGAGGGGAGGCGATCAGGGAAAGGAGGGCAGGAAATGGAACAGGAACAATTTAAAGCAGACATGTTTACCGGCAAAAGGGGAGTGCTGTTCAAGTAAGATAAATTCCCTTAGCAATGCTGGTCATGCCGTAGACCTTAAGTCACTTTTCTATATCACACCTTCATGACCTGTTATAGGTACCTCTGTTAAAGATGAAAAATCTAAAACCAGGGAGAAATGTTTTCCTCTAGGATCACATTGTCAGTCAGCAGCCAAGCTGGGAAAAAACAGGTGTGACTCTGAATTCTCAGCTCGTTGTTCCATCCATTACAACTCTAAAAAAAATCTAGATTGTGGCAACAACCGATGGATAAAAAAATACAGCAAGAACCTTCTAGTGTCACAGCAGACACTACCGTCTTCTACTTTTCTCCTGCAGAATATCAATGTTGTTGCCACAGTAAGATGTGACAATGGCCACCAAAATAACACCAGCAAAACATATTCTGAATAGATGCTTAAAATTTGCTTGGGTTTAGCCTTTAAAGGCTTGCATTCAATTAAAAGGGGTACACAAGCTCTCCATCTCAACGGATGGTGCCAATCTTGATTCACTCCTACAAAACATTTGGAAAATTTCACCGAGAACACCATGTAAATTCAGACTACCGCTCTTATAATAAATGCTAGCATCTGTTCTAAAGCAGAAATGCAGCACATATCCCCCAACTGTTCTGTATTAGCTCAAGAAAAAGGAAACTTGCAAAACATTTCAAAGCCAAGAAACAACAGATGAGAGAGAAGTCGTTCAATTATGAACTTTCAGTGAGAGGAAATCATTTACCATTTAAAAAGTTGCGCTGGTTTTCCAAAATTTGGTTAATTTCATGGATCCATAACTGGCGGACTCCTGGACTGGCAGAATGCAAAATAAAGGTCTCCGTGACATCGCCCGTTCTTGATGTTAGTGCAAATTTACATGGATCGCTGTCCACATTTTCCTCCAGGGAAAGGCAACTCACCTTCATGAAAAAAAAAGAATTTACTTCATGTATTTTATGAGAAACGTACCTCTAAAATCTCTTACTTAGGAGCTCAGAGTCAGATCTTCAAATCATGACCATCCTTTCCTTCAGTAAAATAATACCATGAAGTGAAGGATTACAGTAAACTAAGGATTAGCGTACAGCTTACTGACACACTGTGCCTGAACAATCTCCAACTGGTCAGTACGGCCCAATGTTCTCCATTGGCCCTCACTCTCCATTCATGTTATTTAAAATGCTGAGCCTGCTGTGGAGCTCTACCACTGGCCCACACCAAAGGCTTCTGCTGCAGAGACAGCAATGCCTTGGAATGGGCTGTCCAGCCAGCGCTGAACAGGATGCTCAGCTGGCAGGCACAGCACCGAGCCAAATTAACGGAAGTAGGGTCCATGCAAGACGCTTCACCAGGAGGGCTGGTAGGCACTAATATCAACAGTTTTTGTTTCAGAGAAGGCTTGAAGTGGGAGCAAACACTTTTTGTTTGAGGGATTTGCTTGTAGAAGAGCTGACATGTCCAAGAAGGTGGCACTATTTACAGATGTTACCTAGACATTTGGACTGATTTCAGCTGAAACTCAAAAGAAGGGATAGGTAAAGAGTTATTACCTTTATTTGCAATGCCTTTGCAATGTTGTATACACACAGCACAGAGCTGAAGACTAAACTCTTTGTGAATACTTGTCCAGCTTTGTACAAGAACACCGGTTTTGGTATACTTCACATGGGAAGCATCAGTGCTGGGATACAAAGATTTCCATTTATCATCAGAGTGAGCACAAATTTGGTAGGAAGTAATTTCAGGAAATGACTGACACATTACTGTGCTTTATGATTGCACATCTAGATGTCACTAGTGGCTCCACACTGAATCAGAAACTGTTACCTTAGCAGAGTTTGTGCAGGGGACACAAAGACTCACGCACGACAGTTACCTTGATACTGTTTTTAAACAAGAATCCGGGCATGGAGAAACCTTTCTTTTTATCTAGCAGCTCACTGAAAATGACTATCTGCTCAAACAGGAAGACCCGTCTCTCCTTGCAGCGTGGCAGAAGTCCTGTGTCCTGGTCTGTAACCAAGAATGTGTCCTGGAGCAGGAGCTTACCCTGGGCTACAATTTTACCCTAAACACAGAGGCAAGCGGAAACACATTTAGTGCAATTCTTCATTTCTTTCCCCAATCAACCTTTTTGAGCAGATGCTTATGCCAAAATAGCTTTGTGTATTTCCCAATTTCTGAGTGTCACTGACCATTATATATTCATTGATTCTCTTATACACAAGACATTCTTATTCCCTTTCTCAAAAACCAAACATCATAAAGACACCTCCCCCCCCCCAAATCCACCCCACTCTTTTCAATTCATACTGCAGTCTGAGGCTTAGTAACAGTGAGGCTTTCATCTCTCTAGTCTCAATAATTCCTTCCCTGCCACCCCCAACACAGTAACTCATATATTCTTCTAATGTCTTCCAGGGTGCTGAAAAGGGGAAGAATTCGAGTTCATACCTGCATCACAGAGCAGAAAGGGCTTTGCAAGTAGAGCATGTGACTATAGCCTGGCTGATGCATACTGCTTCAATAGCCAATTTTCATCTCTTCTGGACTTAGCAAAACAAGGAGAAGGGCTACAGTTGCCTCAGGTACTTTACTGACCTTAGCAACTCCTCCTTTGCCTACACTGCTGAAGTCAGGTCTGCTCACCTGCTGATAACTGATTACTTCACTATTTTGCAAGTCATTAGTCTATAACGGAACTGTAGTAACGCCAGTACTTCCTAGATTTTGCAGAAGGACTTACCTAGTGTGACTGACACAACAGGTAAAGCTTCCCAGGAAGAAGTCCTTGGCAGGGCTAAGACTTGATTTTTCATTCACTGTTTTTTGCACCACCTAACCAGATTGTGAGAGAGCACCCTACCTCATTTCTCCCCCTCAGCTCTCCCCACATTAATGGTTAATTTCTGGAGAACTTGACAAAAACTCTAAGCAAAACCCCAGCCAACTTACATCAAATCCTTGCAGGCGGCCAACATTCATCATGTCATTACACCGTTTTGGTACTATACACATGACCTCTACAGCTCTCTGTTCAGGATAAATAAAAAGTCAAAGCTTTATTTTCCAAATGAGTTAGCAGGATAAAATTTTGTTTCATTTGCTATGGTTGCTTTAGAACAGAAATGCGAAAAGTAAACACTTATCATAATCACATTCTCAAGAAGATCAGAAAAGGAAAGCAACTCTGTGTCAAAATGAGTAGAAGTTTATAGTAAAGAGCATTCAAGTCACTAAGAGAAAACATCTCAAGTACCTCTAGTTCTGTTGTGTCAAGGTTAGCTTTTTTAGAATATTTGAGGAAGTCCTGAAAAAGGAAAAAAACAATAATATGAGTCTTTTCTCATTAATCAGCAACAAGAAATCTTAGAAAATCTGCATTTGCTATCCTCTGGCAGAGAATGATGGACTACAGAAGACACACAGAAAAAATTTTCTTGCTGCAGTGCTTTCCCCCTCTTATTTTTTAAGATTTAGATCATACAAGAGGTCATTAAGGCAATGACCTCTGTGATACACAGGGTTGCTCTTCAGTAAACATTTATGTGATATTAAAACGGTTGCAGATGTAGTTGGAAAAGTTGGGATGAGTCCCAACAACTCATGTCACATTTACATCTGAAAACAGTTGGGAGATCCCTGTCCCCTTCATATGACATTGGTACAAATTCTAAACATTTCCGTGTCACTGACTTGAGTTCATTTGGTCTTTAACTGTTAAAAAAAAAGCAAAATTCTGCCCAAGCTATTTACTGCAATTTTTATAACTATCTGAATATGCTCAGAAAATAATCATGTTACATTGCTTACAAATCTGGGTTCTGTTTGGGAGGAGGGTGGAAAAGCATCAGCAATATTTAAAAAAGAAATCATATCTGTTAACACGTATATTAAATCATACATCTCAACATCACTTTACCTTTAGTAACAGCTGGTATTTCATAATTCTCTGCACAGGTTTTATTAGCAAGTCCGTGAGCTGAAGTCTGTGGCCCAGGCGTTGCTTTAGATCCTGAGGGTTGTAAAACAAACATTTTTTCGTTTGTTCTTTCAGTTAGAAACAACTTTGTTCTGTTTTGTTGAGTTAGAAACACAGCAGGATGTATCACTATTAAGGGCTATCAGAGCAGAAATTGGCAAAAGCCAGAACAGAACCTAATCTTCAGTTAGCAAAAGCTAGTCCTTCTCCTTACCTGTATCAGCTTTGTTTCCAAAGCATTCCCCGCTCCAAGCATCTTCCATATCTTTTTTTGAAAAGATTGTATAGTGAAATGTAATTTTTCAATCACAGGTTGTATATAGTCTATTTTCGACAGTGATCTTTGCTCATCCAAAATTGCCACTTCATGTAATATGCACTGTTAACTTCCTGAGCTAGGGCTAGTAAGGATGAGACTCTACTGATTAATCAGTATCTTATAGCTAAACTTTTGTTTTTTTCCCCTAGAGATCAATACATCTCTAGGATCCTGCATCAGACTTGAGAAATCAGAACAGAAGTGGCAAGAAATTATAATTTAAAACAGTACCAATGATATGTGCTGGCTTTTTTTTTTTTTTTTGGTCAACAGATCTGATAACACTTATGATTTGTACGCACCCTTCACCTTGCATATATCCTCTCTCAGAAACTTACCTCAAAAAACGTATCAATGTATTCTGAGACAATGTGCTCAGACTTTGGTTTGTTTTGGCAGTAAACTATGTACATGTGCAACCTTCTCTCCTAGAAGAAAGATACAGAATGATACATCATCATCAAGAAAAAAGCATGCCAGATTGAAATGGAGTATTATTTTAAGAAGTTCAGCTGTTCAAAAGTATGAACTTAAAAAGGACCTTTTGAGGAAAAAAGGCAGCTACATATGCAGAAATTGCAGAACTGAAAACACATTTCTTTGGGAATATCATGATGATTTTAGAAAGGCAACACAAGTCAGAAAATTGCCACAGTTATAAATACTCCTGAACAACAGGCATTTAGAGATGATAGCTCAGCAGGTCCTACAATAAAATGAAGTAGGAAAATGGTTATCTTTTTCTTTTAGCAAGAGCAATGGATGGAGCCTTTGAAATATCATATTTTTTATTTGATTTTAATAATCTGATTATTCTTCTAATATATTGGAATAATGACCTCCTCCTGTTTAGCTGTACAGAGCAGTTAGGAGAAACCTCTCAGTCTTCTATTTAGTATTAGCTGCCCTATTGGAGTTTTAGGGGAGACATAGGTGATGTAGCCTGGAAATGGTGGTTGTAGCCTGGAAATGGTGGTGCTAGTATTTTTTTAACTCTGATTCTGTATTTTGTGCATGGGCTTTTAACACCAAGGCAACAAAGAAAAAGAGCGTATAACTTCAGCCTTTAAGATTCATTCTTGATTAGCAACCTTGCTGGTTAAGAAACACAGACATAACATATGCGCCTATTACCTACTCCAAAATCTTCCTTATCATTTTGCCAGGATTGGTTTGCTGTTAGAAGCTTTGCTGCTCAGAGACTTATGGAGTACGGACCAGTGAAGACAAATGGAAAGCAAAAAAGGAAGAAATAAGAAGGAGATTGAAAAGGACACAGAACATAGATTAAGAGCAGGAACTGAATCGTCATGTTCTAGCTGATAGTCAGGGTTTTGTTAGAGGATGTTGTAATAGCATCACAGCTTGCCTTTCCATCTGGAGTGGTAAGGGTGCCTTTCAAAAACAACTCAGTTACAAATATACCAGGAGAAAGTAAAACAGCAATCAGAAACGGGGAGAGTCACTCCCTTCAGGTTTCTCATTTTACCAGTGCCAGAATTCTCCCCTCTTCCCATGCCCCCCTCCCTTTTTTTTTTTTTTAATAATAATAATCCCTCAGAAATGAAACAGCTCATTCCTCATCATTAGTCCAGGAATTAGGCCTGGCTTCCAGTGTTACTGTTCCATTAATGTTTCACTCCGTTCTCTTTTGCTACCCTGGTATTGACTTCAAACACAGACTGCAGGGAAAATCTGAAACCCATTAAATCTGCTTTAATCCAGTCTGTCTTCAGCCTTTGCACACTTGTGCAAATGATTGTATTTAGTAGGAAAGTTTCTCTTCTGCTGTCTTGTGTGATTTGGAGTATGGTGAGGCTTCATCTCAAACAGATATTAAATTGTATTTCTACACAGACACCAAAATGACTGATTAGTGGCATGTCTGATGTGTCCTGAATTTTGATATCTAGTTTCTAGATAACTAGTTCATCCGATTTCCTTCCAAAGTGTTATAATATCCACATGTATCACAGGGTCACTCCTTTTACTAAATAAATGAAAAGTGGAAAAACAGGGACTTATATATAGCTATAAAGGGTACTGTGTCGGACTAAAATTAAACATCATGAATTTCTGGCACTCTCAATTCCTTCCCTAAGTGAAGAGGGAGGAACCTCAGCCACTGCTGTGATTCTCAGAAAGGGAAAGGATACAGAACTAGAATGCACTGAAATCAGTAGGAAGAATGAGCTGCTTTCCTATTTTTGGTTCCTATGTTCCATGGTACTGCATGGATACCTGGGATTAGAAGACAGGTGTATCTGGTCATATGAAATGACAATTTTCTCGCACAGAACTGGAACTGAATTGAGAAACAGGGCCCACACTCACATTTCCTCTCCACAGGAAGATACTGGGAACAAAACCTAGATTATTTACTTAGTCTATTTATAAGCTCTTATAACCTCTCTCTCCACCTCCTGCAGTGAGGAATATTTTACAGCACTTTCTTAACTGTGTGTACCATAGATAAATCCTTAATAATCAAACATGTTGGTCAGTAGCAGCAATAGGGGTTTGCCAAAGACAACGTCTGCACTTACATGCTTAACAAACAGGGATCCCAGCTTTTCTGGATCTTCAAGGCACTTCTCCAACTCTCCTAAAAAGAAGCTGAACATAAAGAGAACAGCACTTTTTTTCTGATAGCACACACTATAGCAACAGGTGATTGCAAGGTAAAGTGGTCTTACTGCAAGGTCCACTTTGTGTCCCCTATCAGCAGCTTTGGATATTAATGTATGTCCAAAATGACAATGTTAATAGTGTAATATTTTAATATAGATTTCCAAAAGGACACACTGAATCCATGCCAAGATGAAAAAATACTGGTGCTCATTAATAAAATTCTTTAATTTCATATATTGATTGAAACTTTTCTCCTTCCTAGTCTGAGTGCCTGAGGTGCTCATACTGCCATGCTAACCCCTAACAAATTCTTTAGCCTGTATTCTTAGAGAAAACAGTTTTGAAAACAAAGCCTCAAACAACGTACAAACTTCCGTATATAATACTACCCATACTATAGATTCTCAGTTGAAGCACTTGGTATATATAAGCATCCTTGTTTAAAGCAAACCTTCATACCAACATTTGTAAGCTGAATCTACAGCATCTACAACTCAAAGCACAAGACCAACTGTATTTACCTTGTATCTGAATATTTGAGGAAAAAAAAAAAAATTTCTTAAAGTCAATCTAGTATTTTTTAGGCAGAATTGTTCAGCAGGTGGTTTTCAAGTTAATACATACTCTCTGTGCCAGTCATAAATCTGGTGAATGTTTCCAAATACAATCTTGTCTTTGCCTTTCATGTCATCAGGTACGCCATCTTCCTTCATAAGTGCCATATAACCCTGCAACAGTCCAAGGAAATTCACCGTGAACATTTTAACTTAAAAAAGGTGAGTTGTCTTTTAATCTCCCTTTTCCCAGAAGCTTTCCAAATTGCCCATGACAACAGCTTGTTTGGGACACAAACCAAAAAACTGCTCTATAACACATCATAACATAGAGCATCGATACAAAATATCACAACTTGGCTTGAGGTTGTCTGCACAACACTGCCCAGTGCTAGAAAGACAGATTCACTCTAGCTAATTTAGCCTGCGTGAACAGGCTCAAAGCACAGAGGAAACTTCTACAGCCCTTCTCCTTATTGTCTGAAGCAGCTGCAATGCTTTGCCAGGTAGGGCTCTTACCGAGTACAAGTCAGAGCTACTGAAATGGCTTTCTGCGCTCCTTTGCTCAGTGTTTCTTATTTCAGTCACCCACATTAACCCTGCACCAAAGTGCGCTGAGGAAGAAAGCAGCTGCACTGCATATGGGAGTGCGTTGCACGGGCTACTACTTGCGGTATGAGCAAACCGAACACCAAAAAAAATTGAACATAAATTCTATTAGCAAGCATTCTGACTGCAATAAAGTTCCTTTTACGTTTTCCCATAGTCCTGTCTTCTCTTTTTTGGTGTATATATACACTCGTCTCACTGTGCAATTCTATCACATAGTTAGAGCTGGGACTTTTTTTGAATTTTGTAGTATTCATGCAACTCTATTCCTTTTATTTTTTCGTAATACTTCTATTCCTAATTATCCAGGTCTGGGTTTAGTTGCAAGGTTTATGTTTTGATGTCTAGCATTTTCATCAGGAATTATTTTGTTAGTTACAAAAATACATCTGTTCATAGCCTTCTAACGCACCCTTTAAATACTGTAAAAAGACTATCACAATGCTGATCTTTCTTTCCCTCCCTCCTGTTAAAACGGAGTTTAAGAACTGAACCTTGTTAGGCTGAAATTCACTGTCATGCTCATTCTCTCTACACTTCCAAATGCATTTTCTTGGTAGCTGAAGACTGAAGGGAGATGTGTGATGTTATTTCATTTTACAGAAGGGGAAACTAGGAAGTCTAAGAGAAGCCTAGCAGTAGGAGAGGAAGTAAGTCTTTCAAATCCAGGACAGTTCCTCTACCTGTGGAGTTACAATGCTTTTTTGAATTTAGTTGTGCTAAATAAAACCATCTAGTTGAAGCTATTATTAGGCCAGAGGTAGTGATCTTAAAAAAAAAAAAATACTAACTACACTCCTCAGAAGAACAATAAGGTGCACACAATAACAGGAAAAAAAAAGGAATGAGATCTGATGCAGTATTTCTAATATATTAAAAGCCTGCAGGAAGGAAAACTCAGAATGCATTCACATTTTCAGCTTCTTCCTGTGTTTTGTTTTGAAAAAACCGTGAGGTTCAGGCTACACAGCTGGTCGGTACCACATTGGGGGGGGGGGGGGGAAAA